TTTCTTAATAAATTCGTTTTGAAATATACATCATGTTTCTAAATAAATTAGTTTTGCGATATACATAATGTTTCTCAATAAATTCGTTTTGAGATGTATACAATGTTTCTTAATAAATTGGTTTTGAAATATACATAATGTTTCTAAATAAATTCGTTTTTTTGGGAATGACTGAAAATAATATATAAAAACTAGGCTTTTAGGGCGCTTCACGCCCATCTTCTTTTTAAATTGTGAACATGTTCTTTTTGTTTACATTTTAAAACAAAGAAGAAATTTTTTTTGCGGATTTTAAAAAATCGCGGATTTCCAAGAATTTAAATTTTTTTTACAAAATTAAAAACCTTTAAAACACATTTTTTTTTAAATTTTTATCATTCATAAACCTTCCCTGTGGTCAAGTGATGTCCCAGAAAAAATGTGGGCCCGATCGGTTCTGCCGTTTTGACGTTTATTGGATACAAACAAACAAACAGACAGACAAGCCAAATTTATATATAAATGTTCTGTTCTGAGATCACGCAAATGCGTGTCTAATCACCAGATATAACCAAAATATTTAAATCTGTAAACCAAACTATTTAAACGACTGAGTGAAAAGTTTGAAAGAAAATCCTTCAAATAATTCAAGATGGCCGCTAGGCACCATATCTATCCATGGTGCATTCACCGTACATTTCATGTACGGAGGGACACATTAAACTGTGCAATTTGAAGACAACATCTTATTCATTAACGTGTACTTGATTTTGTATGAAAGCAAGTATTTCAACTAGAAACTAGATAATCGAAATAGCAAGTGAAATACGTAATGTTCATTGAAGATTTTCAAAATCATAACTTAGTCTAACAGTCGTCTTCCTATTGCACACGTTCCTGGGCCCTATGTACAACAAACAAAATAGATTTACATTAAACAAAATTTAATTCAATCTTTGTCTGCAAAAAGATTCATTGCAGTTCAAAATTGTGAATTGCAAAGAATAGCAAAACTGGAATCCGGGAAGTGAAAAGAACAGCAAAACTGGGATCCGGGAAGTGAAAAGAACAGCAAAACTGGGATCCAGGAAGTGAAAAGAACACTGGTTTCTGGGAAGTGAAAAGAACAGTAAAACTGGGATCCAGGAAGTGAAAAGAACAGCAGGAAGTGAAAAGAACACTGGTTTCTGGGAAGTGAAAAGAACAGTAAAACTGGGATCCAGGAAGTGAAAAGAACAGCAAAACTGGGATCCGGGAAGTGAATAGAACAGTAAAAAAGCATTACACATATATGTTATCAAGAGTAATAACATTTGAAACAATCTGAAATATGAAAATTGGAGAGTCGCTGAGATTTTTGGCTACAATCCTTTAAGGAAATATATAATCCCTGCATCAAGTCTAAAAAGTGTAACTGTTAAAGTGTGTAAAGGGAATAGGTAATAAATAAATAAAAATAGAAAATAAACCCTTGAATGTTTACATAAAGGTGACAGTTAGGAAGGAATAGGATTAAAACGTAGTTTAGGGTCTTACAATTCAAATTATATAGTTTTGGGTTCCGCTTTAAGGGGAATTATTTTGTAATATGTTGAAAAGAATGAGATTTTAATGCCGATGTGAAACTTATAAAACTAGGCTTTCCCTTTCAGGGCGCTTTGTGCCAATCTTCTATTTCAATTGTGAACATTTTCTCTTTGTATACTTTGCATTCATTGTACAAAACAAAACAAAAACAAACAAAAAAAATTGCTGATTTAATATAAAAATTAAAAAAAATTCAATATATGATTTACGTATTTACTATTGGGTACATTTAGCTATATGGACAATGTACAATTGTTGTCGGAAAGGAACAAGATTCTGACGATGAACAGATAGACAAAAAATCGATAATGCAGAAAACTCTTTATTTCCTAAAAAAATATGAAATGAATAATGATAAATAATTATTACAATGGTTTACGAATTTATAATGAAAAGATTCTTACGATCTCTATTTGAGTATCTGTGGGTTAAACTGTCGGGGAGTCCTAAGACGTTTTTTTATACATTAAAACTTCTGAAAAGAGTGACAATTAAATTTTAAGGAGAGTCACTAATTCTTTATATGAAAATATTCTTTGCTTAACTTTGAAGTGGTTCACAATTAATAAAAGTGTTTATATTCCGTTGTCGGAGAACAAAGAGAAGCGGGCTGAAATTGTTTGGTTTGGTTTCTCGTCTCCGAGAGGAGCTTTTAGGTTGAAGACGACATTACATGATGAGAGAAAGGTGTAAGAAGATACAAAAAAAGAGGGAAAGGAGAAAAACTGGAAGATAAAAGTTTTTTTTTAAGTTTTCGAAGTTTGCATATCATTAATATAGTCATATTTATTTACATAGCTAAAACACACATGATTCTACAGGATAGTGCAGATAATAAAAATTAACATTTCTTCCATTACCTTGGTTTACTATATTTATATTATTTGGTATATTCAAGGATTTCATGGTTTAATGATAAAAACCTTTTATCTTTATTTATCTTTATCTATTATGTATTTCACATGTTTTTATAAGAACCCCCTCCCCCCACCAAAAAAATATTTATTCTTAGATAATCAAATTTAAATTTAATGTTGAAAAAATTTGTTGATTTTAAAATAATAATATTAATGTTTACAAAGCATTGATAAGATTTGTATCTCTTTATGCTTGTAAACTTTATAGTTAATAAAAAGAGAAATTAGATGGTGACATTTTAGAACTTGTAGTTTTAAACATTGATTATCTGAGGTCTCTGAGGGGCTAAAACATGCATACAGGGAGAATCAGAAATAGAAAATTAACTGTGTTTCGTTTAGTCATGAAATGTTGCTCAGGACTTTGTGACTAAACAATATTTTCAAAAAGTGCACCGAAAATTTTCAAAAATATATAATTGTTGCAAAAATTGCAACTTGCACAATCCCCAAAATCATTTCTGCATTAAAAGGAGGAACAAATACGACATTCATTCAACAGTGTTCTGCTTCTCACCTTAATGTGGTGCTCATTTACTGATTTTGTGTAAGATGCATTAAAAAAGCGAAAATAACATTTTTGAGATATACATAATGTTTCTTAATAAATCCGTTTTGAGATAAATATAATGCTTCTTAATAAATCCGTTTTGAGATGTATATAATGTTTCTTAATAAATTCGTTTTTAGATATGCATAATGTTTCTAAATAAATTAGTTTTGCGATATACATAATGTTTCTTAATAAATTCGTTTTGAGATAAATATAATGCTTCTTAATAAATCCGTTTTGAGATGTATATAATGTTTCTTAATAAATTCGTTTTTAGATATGCGTAATGTTTCTTAATAAATT